CACAGGCCCAGTCCATGAGCTGCAGGAACCCTGGGCAGGAACAGCTGCCAAGGGCAAGAACCGACATCCTGTGCAGAGGCTAGGGGACCCTCGGGGACTGCCTTGAAGGACACGGGAGACCCAGAGGGCCCGCCTGCAGGGGGGTGGTGGGGGCTTCTCCCTGGAAGGGACTGTGAGCAGCAGGGACGAGCAAGGGGACACCCCGGCTTTCTTCTCATCCGTATCAGGGTTTACAAAGATGTCTCCACTGGCAGCAGGACCGGACAGACATGCCTCGGACGCAGGGCGAAGACAGTACCGTCGACTGGGGACAGGGCCAGCAACCTCCCCGCCCCTAAGGCTCCTCCCGGGAGTGGGGCCGGCCCTGGGGGTCTCCGCACGGCCCTGAGCAGAGGGACACGAGGCGGCTGAGGGGCACTGCACAGGCCCATAGAGATGCTCTCACCTACACCCGAGCACAGCTGGGGCTGCACAGGGGCCCGGCTGCCTCTCCCGGCCGGAAGCCACCCAAGGGAGCAGCAGGAAGCGAGACGTCTGAAAGTCCAGAGGCTGAGCGGAAAGGGTGGGGGACAGGTCCCCTCCACTGTCCCCAGCCCTCCCTGGGACAGCATCTGCTGTTCAAACCAAGGCTCCTGAATGCCTCGGCTGGCACCCAGCGCCTGGCTCATAACGCCGCTGGCACACCCTCCTGTCGGCGCTCCGATGGTGACGGCCACAGCGAGGCCGGCCCACACTTCCTCTATGTACAAGCGGTGAGCCCAGGACAGGCCACCAAGGGCAGACTGGTGCGCGTTCGGGATTCTGCACGCCCTCCCTGTCACTGGAGCCGGTGAAGACTGGAAGGTCAGCAGGCATCCCCCGCTCCGAGTCATGGAGCTGGAGACGGACTTGAGCGGGAGCAGCCCTTCCACGAAATCCGCTAGTCCCGTCTGCGGCCTCGCCGTCACTGGATGCCCTCCTCTTCTACGTACGTTGAAGGAAACCAGCCAATCTGAAAAAACAGCAGGATCATGTGACGGGGTGTGTGTGTGTGTGTGTCGGGGCTGTGGGTGAGTAGAGGCTCGTGGAGATGGGGCAATCCTTCAAAAGGCTGGAGTTCTGAGTCAGTCCTGCCCCGAGAGAGGACTGTGGCCCGGGAGCAGTGGCGACCCCAAAATGCAGCAGCCCTCAGCCATAAGATGATCTGCATCCTCTCTAGCTGACAGCCAGGAAAAAAAAAAAAAAAAACCATCTGGAGAAAAAAAAATAACACCATCCAGAGCCTATCTAATGTTTTACACACAAGCTCAGCATCTCATCAGGACCACGTGACAGAAACTAAGAAAATACAGACGGCAGAAACCGAAATAACTCTAACTTGTATGTTTCAGAAAAACCAACAAAAAAGCAAGAAATTTTATCTGAGGACAGAACTCAGAAATCAAATAGAAATCCTAAGACTGAAAAATAGAATGGCTGAAATTAAGAATCCTGTAGAAGGATTTAACATCGGATTAGATGAAACGAAAGAGAAGACTAATGAACTGGAAGATGAACCTATGGAAAGTACCTGGATGCAAACCAGAGTTCATGGATGGAGAAGCCGTAAAACAGGGCGATGGAATACAGGGCGTGGTGAAAAGACCTGACAGCCATGGGGATGGAACCCGAGAAGATGGGACAGGCACCCCACCTGAAGACGTTTCCCCAACCGCAGGGCACCAGCCACAGGTTAAACAATCTCTACTTATCTCAAGCAGAACGAACACAGAGAAAACCCGTCCAGGCATATTAGAGCAGCGGTCCCCAACCTGTGTGGCACCAGGGACCGGTGCTCCTATGAGAATCTAAGGCCTGAGGATCTGAGGCAGAGCTGAGGCGGCGATGCTGGCGCTGGGGACGGCTGCAGATACGAATGACGCTTCGCCTGCTCACCCGCCACTCACCTCCTGCTGTGCGGCCCGGTTCCTAACAGGCCACGGACTGGTACTGGTCTGCGGCCCGGGGATTGGGGACCCCTGCATTATAGTAAAACTGATCAAAAACAAAGACTTATTTTTTGCTTTACATGTAGTCCAGCGGTGCGTTTTGAAAGCTATTTCCTACAAAGAAGCAACGTTAAGGATATCGACTAATTTTTTTACAGAAACGTTGGAAGTCGCGTGACAGTGGCGTGTCGTCATCAAAGTGGCCTAGAATTCCAGCCCCAGTGGAAGTTCCCTTCAAATATGAACTCAGTATATCCGCTCCCAAAAAGGAAACAGGTCTCACCAGAGAGATGACCGACTCCCGGGGGAGACCGACTAAGGGGAGAAGGGAGAGCTTTTCCTTACAGCAGAGTGTCTCCTAGGATCTGGAGGAGAAACGAGCTAGAAAATCACTATTTTTCAACCACGATAGAAATAGTTAACTAGGCAAAATTCACCAAGTAATGATAAGACTAATTAGGTGGAAGTTTGATGTGGGACAAGACGTTTATCTAATTTCAAACTATTGCCTTGAAAGTTATTTATTAATTACCATAACTGCACAGTGGAGAAAGCTGGCAGGTACCACCCTAACTTAAGTGATCTAAGTCAATGTCACGATTATAGGACAAATCGACATTCTATGCCTCTGGAAAGGACGCGATAGCACTGAAAAATATGCAAATCCCATCGTGGCGTTCCCACCCAACATGGACAACCTCAACCGAATCATGAAGAAATGTCAAACAAACCTTACTGAGGGATAGTCTACAAAAATAACTAGCCCATGCTCTTCAAAAACGTCAGTCATGGAGGGCAGACAAGGGCCGAGGAACCGTCCCAGACGAAAGCGAGCCGAGCGTCATGGCGAGCTGATGCGATTCACGGACCTGGACTGGCTCCAGGGCCAGGGAGCACTAGCTAGAGGAGACACTGCGGGACAAGTAGGAGGCCGGAACGCGGGCTGCGGGTTAGATCAACAGGGCGTGTCCTCGATCTTAAGAAATTCACACTGAACTGTTTAGGAGAAAACGGATATGTCCGCAACTGACTCTCAAATGGCTTAGAGAAAAACAAGGGCGTGTGCACAAACACACACACACACACACACACACACACACACACACACAGAGGGAGAGGGGCTGCAAATGGATAAGCAAATGGTCAGATCATCCTCAACTGGTAAATCTGGGCGCACGGGAGTTCTCTGTACTAGAGCAACTTTTCCTTACGTTCGAAAGTGTAGTGAAATAAGTTACAAACATTTTCCAATGAGACCGTTAGAAAAAGAAAATGAAATAAGATGTATTCAATCCGACGGAAGCGGAGAGCTGATGAGAAGCAGCCTTGCGGTAAAAACGCAGTAAAGAACAGGGCACTTCAGGCGGCAGGAGCGTGGTTTGAGGGGAAACGGGGCGACGCAGGGAAGAACGGGGAGCCCGGGGAAGGCAAACGGACGCACATCTAGATGAACACTAACCGCTTAGAACAAAGATCGTGTCTCACGGGGTCACAAAGCATGGAGAGTTAAGACACATGACAAGACCTCCACGAAAGTCCAGAAAAAACTAACGGCCAAGGTGGCGAGGTCCTCGCACCGTCCGGGAAGAAGAGCTGATTCGGGGGGTCTCTGAGAACCCGAGTGTGTGCTGTGACCCCCAGGGTGACCCCTAGTACCAGACAGAGAATGTGTGACTAACAAGCCAGTCAAAGTGGCAGAAAGTGGAATAGGGAAAAATACTGACTGATTCATGCAAAAGGAGGCGGGAAAGGAGAAAAGAGGAGGAATAAATGTGACAAAAATAAACGGAAAGATGAGGATTTTAAATATAAATATCTCAGTCATGACATTAAATGTAAATGAACCACATACCCCTATTAAAGGGCAAAGACTCTAAGATCGGACAAGCTTTAAAAAATCTGTTTGTAACATTTTATCTTCTATCTTAAATATAAGAACATGGAAAAGTTGCAAATAATACGAGGGAAAAAAGTGTGCCATACAAAACACTAACCACTCCCGCCCCACAAAATGCTGTCACCACTCTGATGACGGATGAAGTAGACTTTATAGCAAGAAAAAAATGGCCACAGATAAAGAGAGACATTTCACGATGATGGGCAAAGCAACAGGATCTGGAAGGCTCTAAAGCTTAGCTCTGCTCTGAACTCTCCTGGGAAACTAGGTGGCTCTGTGCCCGAGGCCAGGGCCCAGGTATGAGCAGGCCCCGGTGTGAGCGGCCCCAGGTGTGAGCGGGCCCAGGTGTGAGCGGGCCCAGGTGTGAACAGGCCCCAGTGAGAGCGGGCCAGGTGTAAGTGGGCCCAGGTGTAAGCGGGCCCCAGTGTGAGCAGCCCCAGGTGTGAGCGGGCCCCAGTGTGAGCAGCACCAGGTGTGAGCGGGCTCCAGTGTGAGCAGCCCCAGGTGCTCCACTGCGGCACCCAGGGGCCACGTCGAGAGCCAGTGGTCTCGGCAGCCCCAGGTGTGAGCGGGCCCAGTAGTGAGCAGGCCCCGGTGTGAGCAGACCCAGGTGTGAGCGGGCCCAGGTGTGAGCGGGCCCAGGTGTGAGCGGGCCCCAGTGTGAGCAGCCCCAGGTGTGAGCGGGCCCAGGTGTGAGAGGACCCAGGTGTGAGTGGGCCCCAGTGTGAGCAGCCCCAGGTGCTCCACTGTGGCACCCAGGGGCCACATCGAGAGCCAGTGGTCTCAGCCAGTCGCCCGAGACTCGGGGACTCGTGCTTCTGAAGGGCTGGTGGGTGCGAAACGGCCAAGGCCTGAGGGCCTCCCAGGCAGACAACGCTGGCAGAGGCAGGTTGGGTCCCATCACCTGGACGGAACGGGAGCCAGCGCTGGCCCGCCCTCCGCAGCCCTAGGGACAGAGAGGCATTTCCAAAGCGGTGACACGTGGAGCCGTGGCGCCCTGCTGGGTGGGCACGAGGAGAACGGGGTCAGGGCCAGTGGGTCCAGACCGGGCGCTGGCCCAGGGGCCCTGGAGCGATGCGGAACCGCGCCGTGGGCAAGGACGCGCCGGGGTGTGTGCCTCCCACGTCACCGGGGCGTCAGCGGGGCCTTGGAATGTGGCAGCAGCGGCCCAGCAAGGACGCCCGGGCCCTGCTCTCGGTCCGGCGGCCTCCCTGCCTTGGGTGCGTGCAGAAGGCTGTAGGCAGAACCCGTCCCCTCATGGTGGCCAGAACAGGACCTGGCGCACACACGGGGTCGGCCAGGCCCGGATCAGACCCGACCCAGGAAGC